TTGATTTCATAATGTTGTTTTGTAAAACACTTTTTTCTTAAACGTATTAATAAAAAAATTAAATTCGTGAATCATGTTCTTAAGGGTCGAGTTTGGAATTTGTGATAGGGTCGAGTAGTTCTGAGTTAGGTAACTAGGCATCTACCCTTAGGGCCATCTGAGTTGTGTATATCATTGCTAACAGGGTCTATTTTGGAATTTTTGATACTTTAATGCTAAAAAAAATGCTCCTATGTCTATCTTTAAACAAATGAATCGAGGAAATGTACGAAAAAAAATGCCGTCCATGCTAAAAAAATCTCCCTAAATGTTAGAATTTAGAAACAATTTCATATCTAGGACTTGGTGGTAGGCTTAATTGGGAATTTTAAGTGAGGAATCAACGCATCTCACTGAACCCTAAACCAATCTTCCACTTTCAGATTTGAAGAAATACAATTGCAATCGAAATACAACCGATGATTATTTATTAGATGAAGATTTGAGAACCGATGAAGGATTGAGATTTGAAAGTTGCTTGAATCCCTAAATCACGTATCCATGTATAAAGTGGGCAACGACCACCGTGGGGAAGGTCAAGGAATTTGACCCTTTGGAATTTCTATCTTCAATATCTCGAATCCAGCTTCATGATCGTTAATCGGCTAGAAATGGAATGCCATACCTTGAAAATTGAAATAGTCGAACTTTGAAGAACAATAAAAATCAACTTCAGTTGTTGGAATTTTGGGCGTTCACACTTCATCGGTTCATGATGTTCAAGATCTAGATTAGGCGTATTCAGTATCCATCACTACCAAAACTTGGGCGTGTTGTTTATAGTTAAAACCTAGTTGCCCAATTCCCAAATTATAAAACCCCAAACTAGTAATAGATAAAAACTTGATGCCCCATTCGGCTTTGATGCTCTGTGCGGTTGCACGGGCTGCACATGGCTAGGGCCACCCTGATTGCTAGGACTACTCAAGTTGAAAGAATTCTTTGATTCATAAAGTTGACATGGTCCAAGTTTAACATATGTTTGTCTGATTTCATTGGTTACTTGAACAACTTAAGATGACCTATCCTACATTTGACATGTCGATATTTTCGAGTTCAATTCTAATAATTTCTTTATGAATCATTGTTTCACATTTGACAAAACTTTTATGTGGAAATAGACAAGAATAAAATGGAACAAACGTGTTCCATCCACACACATGGAACAAGATAGAATATATATATATATATATATATATATATATATATATATATATAGAGAAAGAGAGAGAGAGAGAGACTTGGGATCATGTGAGACCAGTCTGTTTTCGTGAGATCCGTGATACCACATTTTTACACTTGAAACTTCACAGCAAAATGTTGTGAATGTTCGACTTTTTTTAACCTTCACAGTGTTTTTGCTATGAAGTTTCAAGTATAAAAATGTGGTCACACGGGTCTCACGAAAACAGACTGTTCTCAAGTGAACCAAACCCTATATATATATATATATATATATATATTACTAAAATAACCTCAAAATAAAACATAATTTTCTTGTAAAACATCACATACATCTCTATCTTTACATTTTATTCATTTTATAAATCGTGTTTATTGTATTTTATATTCCTTGAACTTTCATTTTGTCCTCCTCAAAATATTATTTTTATAGTGTTTCTATATTTTGATTAAGTTATTAAATAATAATAATAATAAAATAATAAAGAAAATGTATAAAATAAAAATTGTAAATTACATAAACCTTTTATTCTAGTGTCATTTTAATCGTGTTGATGAAAATTTCTAATAATATATTTTGTTATAAAAAATCTTTGTTTTATTATAATTTAATAATTACGTAAATTAATCAAAATATATATAATATATAAACAACTCATTAGGGGTAAAATGACCAATTTATCAATTCTGTTTTACCAAATGTTGAACAACTATTATATCATATCTTGTACTATTTTGTTTGAATATCAAACACACCCTATATAAACATCTTTCAAGACTATCATTGTCTAGATGTGGTTTTGAGCCATGACAAAAGTTCAAATGTAAACTCAATTTTCATTATAAACGTGAATATTAATCTCGGCCCTTCATTTTATTTGATTCAACAACTCAAATTAAGTATAGTTTTTAATTAAAATTATTAAATAAGGTGATTAGGGTAAAAAAGGCATTTAACTTCAATCCATACCTACCTTTTTTGACTTTTTATTTTCTTTTTTAATTAAATTTTTTACCTCCTTAAACGTTTAAAATAATTAATCTTAAAAACTACTAATATTTTATTTAAACAAATTACATAAAAAAAGAGAATTTCATGTTTTTCAACATGACATCCATCTCGATATAGTTTTTTATTTATTTATCGTTTTAACTGTTTTTTTTACGTGAAATGGTATATATATATGTTATATTCATTATGAATATTTATGTACTTTCAAGTGTGTACAAAGCTCGACACCGTAAGTTTGTAACTCAATATCACCTTCAACACATTTTCAACATTGTAAGGCACCAAATTCTTCATCACCACCGTAAACCAACACCCATCGAGACCGATCGAGAACCCATTGAGACCGAGCGATAACCTATCAAAATCGATCGAGAATGGTAGAGAATTCATTCATTAACTTGGTATGTGTTTATATGTGTTAAACCATAACCTACCACCTTCATTTTCCATCGAGAACAAGGTCAATTAAGTTATTATTTGTTTGTATGAACACACTAGTTAATTTTTTCTTAAACTTGTTTATACTGTGTTCATTTTATGTGCACATTTAATTGTACGTCTCTGTATGTTATAAAGAGAGGAGAGGAGAGTTTGCAAACATCAACTATAAGAACCGAAGGTTGACAATGACAAGTGAGATTCTCTACTTAATCAAGTTACTTTGTGTTCTGAAAAGCATGATAGTGATGTTTGTAACATGGATGAGATGTTCTTACTTCCTCGATGGTCACATCGAAATGCTCCACAAATTACAAACTTACATTAAATCGTGTTGAGTTATTTAATACCGTCATTGATTGCAACTTATGGAGTTGGAGAATCGGTTTAGTGAGACTAGCACTCGGATGCTTCTTTCCATAGCTTGTCTAAATCCGAAAGATTGTTTTTCGGCTTTTGATAAGAGAGAATTGATTCACCTTGTACGTTTATATCCGGATGATTTCTATGAGATGGAACTTATGGCACTTGATGATCAACTTGAGACTTATATTGTTGATTTGTGGACTTTGACAGAGTTCTAACTTAAAGGAATCAGTGATCTCAAGCAAAAGATGGCTGAAACAAGAAGGGATAAAGTATTCTCTCTAGTGTATTTGCTTATAAAACTAGCAATGATGTTACCTGTTGCAACTACAACAGTTGAGATAGCATTTTCAGCTATGAACATTGTGAAGAATAAGTTGTGCAATAGAATGGGTGATCAATGGATGAACGATTGCTTGATTTCTTATATTGAAAAAGATGTTTTTGTTGAGGTAGCTAATCAAGACATCATAGATAGGTTTCAGAAAATGACAACTCGTTGAGGTCACTGTTGAAACTATATAGGTTGGTGTTTCAAGAATATATAATCATTATTTTTGCTTGCTATTTTCAAAAAATTAATATTTACTTTCTTTAATTTATTATATTTATAAACAAATAACTAATGAAAAACATAAGAAGATAAAATAATTCAAGCGACTGGGTTTGGGCTAATTTTTGGAAAGGGTCACCGGCCTGCCCACAACGTACACTCAAATTCAATTAGATCTGGCAAAAATTCGGTCCCGATCATGAGGTCCGATTAAAGTACTTTATAACCCGTTAATAAGCTAGTCCTATGTATTTTTTTTTAAATTCGATTTTTTACATAATTATTTTTGAATAATACAAAAGTGTTATTCTATTACATTTGAAATATGTAATTGAGTCAATTAAATACGCATAAAAATATGTTTTTTTTTGTGAGAATACAAGCCAAAATCACGAATTATAACAAGAGTTGTGAACGTTTGCGAGCGAGCACGCACGCACGCATATATATATATATATATATATATAGTGAATAGAGGATAAGCAGGTCAAAAAAAGAATCAAAAATGGGAAAAACAGTCATATGGCCGTTGGGTATTAGTGATAAAACGGTGATGTTTTTGAAAAATCAGGCAGGTTTCGGGCCGGGCTCATAATCGGTCCTGAACCAGTCACAGGCGGGGCCGGGCCTTCTTTTTGAAAACTGTAACCAGTCTCGGACTACCAGTCCCAAACGGTCCCCCACCGGGCCCATTTGGCCATCTCTACACTCAATATTCAACGTCTAAAAATATATTATCACTAAGGGTTGAATTTCAATGAGAATGGAAGTTATAGTAAGAAGAATAAGAAGAAATCTCTATCTTTATATCAATTCTAATCGAAGGTCAACACTAATGCGATGCACTGAGATGTACTATATCAATTCCCGTGATAAGGGCAATTAATTTGGTGGGGTGAGATTCAAAGTGATCAAGGATCCATATTTCTTTTTATGCTTTTCACGTTAACTCCTATTCTCACACGACCATTCATTTTATCTTGAATTCCAACATTATATCACCAAATGCACATATCAAAAGCTCGAATAACTAATGACAAAATACAATAAAATAAAGGGAAACTGTATATTCAGTAACAAGAGCTTAAAAACTAATTTAATCGAACTCTCATGTAAGCTAGACTTGAACCATTTCTATTTCAATATATATTGGAACCTCCATTCTTTATTCAAGGGTTCTTTTGAAGAGTAAGGTTGTATGTATTTTCACATGATATTAGAGCAAAGGTCTACCGATTTAGGACAATCTGGATGCGTCTAGGTTATGTTGGAGGGGGCATGTTACTATGTTAGAGCCCTACTTGGAAAATCAGATCATTTATGTTCGACATATGTTGGAACCTTCATTATTTACTGCACTACTCCTTTGAAGAGTAATCTAATAAAGTTTTACATATTCTTACAAATTCAATATAGGAGTCCAAATTCATCGGTTGTAGACACAAGAAAGGTGATCAAAAAGACGAATCCCATCGTCTTTGTAGATTGAAATATGCATAGACTTCAACACAAAGTTCTAAGATACATTTTCTTACAAAGATCTATGAATCTAACACAAATACTCTATCCAATCCATGTCAACAGAATACCTAGACGAACTAATATTATCGCATGGTTATTGTGCGAAAATAAAACTTGTGACATGTGAGGGTTTAATCTTAAAAACCCATTTGCATAACTACCTAAGCAAAAGGTTCTTTAGAGTTGGTAATGGTAGGGAAAGGATTGAAGCCATCTTGCAGCATTAATCCCAAAGGTCCAAAAATTGGTTCAGGTAGGTTTTTCAAGTCATACCAATCCCAACCCTCACACTTATCGGGCTCGAGGTTATGAGGTATTTGGCTTGGGTCTGATAAATGTGCACGCATGTAAACAATAACGAGATGCACTGCATCGGGAAGGATGTTATTGGTTGCTGTTAATAACTCTATATTCTTGATGTGTAGTCCAGTTTCTTCTTTCACCTCTCTTGCTGCACATTCCTCAAAACTTTCACCTGGGATCCCATTTGAACCAAATCACAAAGCTGTTGGTGTTGCAGCTACTCGAATAATGAACTTCCTAAATCATGTTAATTAGAAAGCATATATGTTGGTAATTATGGGGTTTTAATTGAATGATGAAATGGTATTGTGCTTGGTCACCCTAGTTATCAAGCCTTCGCCAGTTGCTCATAATCTTCCACTTCATATTGATATTTTGGTCAGATGTGGTATGCCATGATTGAATTAATTCTGTTCATAATTGAAAACAATTGTTCTAAATTGAAATCACTACCATCATAAATTTTGATGCATACTCAAGGGATACTTGATGTTAATTTCGATTTAGACCTTCAAAAGTTCTGAAATCATTTGCCAAACCTAACTAGTTCATCTTATGTCAATCGTTTTCGTGCTTTACATATTGTTCATCTTTAATCATTGTAGTTGCGCTGAATTTTGCAAATTTAATGCTGAATAGATATACCATATTTTAGTTGTATACGATTTCTTTCTAGTTTTGCACATATATGCAATCGAGAGGAATGGATTTCGGGGTGAAAAGTTATCACTCATCAGAAAACGTTATATAGATATAGATTAGCATGATATTTCAAAAATTGAAGTCTGATTTCCAATTCATCTTCAAATCAGAGCTTAAATGACATAATCGAATAACAGGATGTAGTAATGGCGTGATAAGGGGTTTATAGAACTGACCGAACTCAAGGTGGCCGCCGGGGAGGGCGAAGGTGTAGGCGCCTATTGAGGAGGCGAGACGACGGCCGAACAGTATTTTGTTATCATCCTTCAACAGAAAAATTGCAATCCCAATTTCCGGCGCCGGCGACATTGGTCCGTTCTCGATATCCGAACAGTTCCAACAATTTTGACTCTTGTAGCGAAAGAAGCACACTTACGTGGAAAATGAGGTTTTCCCTTTAAATTACATGGTTCCTATGCTTTGGTGTTTCTATAACCAAGGTCCCTAAAACGGATTAATTACACTCTCGGTACTTGTGGTATGCATTTTACACGTTTTGAGTCCCTTCTTCTAATGAAATAGAAAAGAGTCTCTTAACCTTGTTAAATCAATGATATTTTGGTTTCTTTAGTCTTTTTTCTTTTCCCTCCTAAATCACTTTTGCCAATGACGGGACAATTGGAATCATGAACTCGACCTTGGACCCAAAAGCTTTGGTTACTAGATATTTTTTTTTTTGTAAAAGTAGAGAGGGATGGAAGGTGGGATAGAGATGGAAGTCGTCGACAAGTCGTGAGAAGGTGACCGGTATAAGTGTGCTGGAGTGGGAGATAAAGACTGATAGTGGGGTGGGGATGCGTCTTGCTCCAAGCGAGGTGGGTGCAATGTTTAATCCATGTCCTCACTGGATGTATAAGATTTGACTTCACCGCTACCCTTAACACCATTTTGAATCTTGAGTTGGTGTCAACGGGGAATTAATGATAAAAAGATAACAACATTCCATAAAACATTTTAAGAAAAATGTCCCTTGAGGTACTGGATTAATAGATTTTGTAAAGAAAGGGACTCAAAGTGTCTGCTTTTGCATACACAAGTACTAGAAGGGTGGTAAAGTAATAAAAAAAACCACATGGACCAGGAATGTAATTTACTCTTGAAATTACGAAATTGGTATTATTTTATCTGGTGGTCAAATAGGTCAGATTCCGTCCGGTTGACCCAGTAATCTCCGATTCCGTAGTGTGTTCACCGCCGAGTGGGTCTCCGATTGTCGCTCCGATCATCCCGGCCAGACTAGCCACATGTCGCCGTGCCCTTCGTCGTTGCTTGATACCGTAAAAGCATCCATCCACACCCTCCCCCACACTATACATTCATACATTCCATTTCCGCATCCCCTCCACCACCACCACCACCACCACCACCACCATCATTGCCATCTCTCTCTGTCTCTGTGCAACTCCATCAACGCTTTGCGTTTCGCACAATAAAGGAACAAGATGACGGACATCATGGACGATATAGCAGAGGAGATATCGTTTCAGAGTTACGAGGATGATCTCCGCCTTCTCTTTAGCCTTCTCAATGATGTTCTTCAGCGAGAAGTCGGCTACACTATTATGGAAAAAGTCGAACATACTCGTACTCTCTCTCAGGTCATCTTCAATATATCTGATTATTATTGTTTTCTTTACATCCATGTTCATCGTTTCAGCAATTTGAAAAAAATGCTACGTGTGATGCAGATTTTCGCTGTGTTTATCGGTTTATTTATTGTTCATTTTAGAGAGAAATTATTATTGTTTCTGTTAATCATTAATTTGAAAAGTTCATCACAACAAAATCATTATAGCAATTAAACAATGATGATACTATGTAAATTTGAACTTTTTTTAATGTGTTTTTGGCAAAATTTCAAACTAAAATTATTTATTTGCTTGCCCATGGTTAAGTTACTATTATGATATTGGGGGAGGTTTGTTGAATGGAAATATCAATGGCATCTTCGCAGGTATTTTCGGAGATGAGAACATGTAATTAATGTGTTTGTTATTATGCTTTGATTTGCTATGAGAGTAGAGTTGAATCCAGTTTTGCTTTGATAAGGAAATGCTATTTTTGTAGCTTACCAGGCTATTGTAGTTTTCTGAAATCGCAGAATTGGTTCTTTTTGTTTATGTTAATTGCTATGTCTGTAAATATCACTCATGAAGTAGTGGATATGCTATTTTGGTAAGCGATAACAATAGTAATTTATGTTGAAATTCGTGTTTGTTTTTGCAGAGTGCATGTCTTATAAGAGCAGCTGGGATTGAGAACACTGCAGAGTTTCTTGAGAAACAATTGGCTTCTGAATTATCGAAAATGACATTAGAGGAAGCCTTGAAGCTTGCCAGAGCCTTCAGTCATTTTCTTAGTTTAATGGGTATTGCTGAAAACCATCACAGGTAATTTCCATCATCCATTCTTAGTTTAAAGGCGTCTAAAGTCACTTTGTCACTAAATTTTAACAGTGACCAACTTAATATGAGAAGTGGTGGTTTATGTCGATCAATCATCACCGTGAATTATCAATTAATTTTCATTCACGTCAGCAACAGGCAGTGCATAACATTTACATTTAAATTATGCAATGTGAGAGAAGTGGACTATTTAAAAAGTAATACTGTATATGCATAGGGTACATCAGCATGAGCCATACCTTCCATCTAGTATCCTAATCCCTTTCAGATAGCGTACCTATTATGTTTTAACTAAAGTAGAAGGCACCCTTCCTTGGAACCTAAATTTGTCCTTAGATTGTTACTACCTATTTCATATTGTCGTTAACAATGATAGCCAATCATTTTGACCTATGGTAATTTTACTTGGTTAAATTCTTAATCATGCTTCCCCTGTTTGATTGGGTTTCTAGCCAAATGAAAGTCACACTTTATTGTAGCAGAACATCTCACTTGCAGGTCGCGTAAGGGAAAGAATGTTGCACTAGTCTCAAAATCTTGTGATGATACTTTCAATCAACTGATTCAAGGTGGGCTTTCTCCTGATGTGCTGTATGACACCATGTGCAACCAGGTGTGATTTAGCGGTATCTTCTCTGGTTTAAATACTTTTATGCCTTCTTTTTCCAATTCTGTAGTATGTATTTAAGGCATACATATAGACATACAGCAGACTTCACTTGCATTGTTTGTGGTTTTTCTTTTTTGATACAGGAGGTTGAGATAGTCCTCACTGCACATCCCACCCAAATTAACAGACGTACTCTACAATATAAACACCTTAGAATTGCTGTGAGTTGTTCAAGTGATTGTTTACATCAAGTTTTTTTCTTATGTCACCAGGTAATAATAACTTGAGTTCACTTTGTTGATTTTTGCAGCATCTGTTGGAGGTTAATGACCGCAAAGATCTTACACAGGAAGATCAAGACACACTGATTGAAGATCTGGTGCTTTTCTCTTTTAACTTGTGCGAAGGAGGAAAAAAAAAAGGAAAGAGCTCACTCTTGTTTATCTTTTGGATGATCCATAATTTGTTTCGTTTTGTAGGCGAGAGAGATAACTTCTATATGGCAGACAGATGAACTTAGACGCCACAAGCCAACACCAGTAGATGAGGCTAGATCTGGTAAACATTTTGGTTTTTATAAGGTACAACTGATATATGGATTCTTCCAAGAAGGATGAAGTTGTTTGATTATTTGTATAAATAGGCTTAAACTATATCGAGCAGTCCCTTTGGAAAGCAATACCTCATTACCTACGACGAGTCAGCAATGCTCTCAAAAAGGTACTATTTGAGTCTGCATCCCTAGATCATCTGATGTGAGTGTCCTGTGTTTATGTCAACTTCAGTCTCCTATAAGCTTCTCTTCTGTCTGCCAGCATACTGGGAGGCCACTTCCTTTGACATGCACTCCAATAAAATTTGGGTCTTGGATGGGGGGTGATAGAGATGGAAATCCGAATGTCACAGCAAAGGTCAGGTTTTAACTTCAGCTTTTAACTAAAGTTTGATTTCAATATTCAAAAATAAGTTGAAAAGCTCTCGGGGATAATATCAATTAATTTATGTGTTTTAAGACAAATTACTTGGAAGAAATCTCAATTGTTTGTTGGGGAGAATTATATGCAACAAAAGCGTATGTACATTCTGCACATTTAGTGATTAACCTATGCTTGGAGTGTGTGTAGTACGTTGTCATGGATCCCAGTGGGGTTAAGGCTTCGACAGGAAAATCTGTTGACTATGATGAAGATTGATTATATGTTTGGTAGTACCAGGTCGGTTAGGTGTATTTATTATTATTTTTGTTAAATAAATTTTCCAGGGGTACCACCCTTTTTCCAGAACAGACTGATTAGCTTGTTTGGTGATTATGTGATTCATGTACGCCACTACTTACCAATTCTACATAGAAAAAAACAGACAGAACCTTTTCACTTGCTAAATCAATTTTTGATATAGTTTGAATTTAAAATACATCTAGAGTTGTCTGTTTCTCCTTAATTTGTTGTTTCTGTTGGTAATTAATTATAAACTACACCTATTGAATATTTGTGCAATTCTGCATTTCAATGGGTTGTTTCTCATCAATGCTTTAAAGTGAATAGAAAATGTGACTACCAACCTTTCTTTAAAGTTTGTTTTCTTGGATATCCGTTGAGTGTCAAGGTCTCTTGGTTGTCACTACTTTGGGGTGCTGAACATTATATCTTTTTGCCTTCAATATAACTTGATTTACCTCACATGATATTTGTTTTATAAATCGTTATAAAATGTTTCTGAACACGTTTCTATCTGTGGATGTTATGTTAGTGTAGAAATCTGTTGCAGATGTCCATTTTCATTTACCATCTAAGTGTAACTCTTTGATTGAGTGGCCATGTGCAAGAGATGACTAGGTTATGGAGTAGTGTCTGACTGTGAATAAGGTTTATCATCTTCCCATACATCAGGGTTCAGGACGTAGAAGATATAGCTGCATATGACACTAGGGAACATAAATCCTTGATATAGGATGAATGTGTCCATCAATGTAGTGTTCAAGAAGGCCAGCTTAGAAGACGGTGGACTGATTACTTGGACTTCAACAAATGCTTCCAGTTTGACTTAATTAAATTGTTAATCATAACAAATCAGGTACTAAAGGCGTCTCATTGGATTCATTCAACAAAGTTGTGTGTGTGTGTTTATGTGCACATGTTTCTTCAAAAAATCTTGTTTAAAGAAAGTTGTGAGGGTGATGTTTGAGATGGATGCCAGCCTTGGTCCTAGGTGGCAACAAGAATGTTCTTTTTTGTTCTGCACCAATCAGATACTGCAGCAACCATTTATAATACGTTAAACATACTTCTGTGCGTAGAGTGATCAATGGTTCCATTTTCGCATTAGTCTACCTTGTCCGACCAGTACACTAAAGTACCTGTGTTAATTGTGCAGGTGACAAAAGATGTCTCTCTTCTATCAAGATGGATGGCTATTGATCTTTACACACGGGAGGTTGACAACCTTAGATTCGAACTTTCTATGAACCATTGTAGTGACAGACTCGCAAGTTTGTTACATGATATTCTTCGAAAAGGTCCACCATATATGTTTTCTGATAGCCTCAAAATGTTGCTTATTGCTTCAACATAGACATTATATTCTATTCACTGTGAAGGGAGGTGCTTGAGTACTTGTCTGCTAATGAAGTAAGTTGGCAAATTTCGTTCAGAGAACTCCGAAGAGGATCGACATCAGAGTTGGAACCTTACTCAGACCCGTAGTCAGCCAAAGTGTCACAATGTTCAGTGCTTACCTACACAACTGCCTTCTGGTGCTGATGTGCCCTCACATACAGGTAATATGTTTACCAATCATTTCTTTTGTGGAGGCTTCTCCTAAATAATGTATTTTAGTCTCCCATTTTGTATAGTCTGTATTGGATGTTGTCATTGGGTTCACTATAAGGTTGAAAAGGAGACCGCCTCTGTAACTGCCTAGTTTCCTTGTGCTTCATAGTTTACCACTATAGTACTCCAATACCGCATGCCCTGGGTTCTTCGAATGCAATGAATGAATTCTATTCCCTTGTGTTCTTCCCTACTGCATTAGGACTGCTATAATTAGTTTCATCTTTGATGACCTGCTACGACCAAATATTTCCTGTACATATCTGAAAGGATTATGTTAGAAGTTTCCTCAATCTATTAAATATTAATTTCTGTGCACTATTAACTCTAGATCCTTTATCCAAAGAGAGATTATAACAACACAAATTGTTCAAGGCAATTGGAGTGTTTGAACAAGTTTCATGGCCCCAAAAAGAAGTTTATACTTCTCTATTGGTAAATTAGTGGTAAACATGGTTTAGATTTTTGGAATTATTTTCCAGCTTAAGCTGATAGACTTGGTGTAAAAAAGTGTTGGTTTTCATGTTATCATTATCTATTCTTCCTTGCTGCCATTCCTGCATCCCTGTAGTGCATTTTGAAGTCATAGTATGGTTCTGTCTGTCCAATGGCAGTTATGTGTGAAAGCCTGAGAGGAGATCACATGTAAGGTAGAGCTCAGGGCATGCTGTGTCTCCTCTACACCCATAGGAACTTTTTGGTCAGTTGATATTTGATAACCATGCTCTTTTGTATTTACTTTTCGTTACTTTGCTGAAATGCTTGTTGAAAACCATAAACATATTTCATACTTTCTGTCTCTCTAAAATAATATAGTTTTACCTTTTAATTGCTTCCTAGAATGCAATAAGGTGGAATCACATTGTCCTCAATTAGATGTTCCTGGGTCCGAGTACAAGCGCCTGAAAAACAAGGTAAAGCACAGCTGATACTGAGATGTACCCTGGTTTTAGTACATTCATACTATACCCTCCTCCCACTAGCATCAGAACATACTTTTTCTCCCTGAGTGAATCATGATTTGCAAATTGCAGGATGAACAAGCTACTTCATCCCCAACTTCAAGCCAAAATTCTCAGAAATTGCAAGGAAGTGGGAATCCATCTCAACCTACGACACCAAAAGGATCTCAACTCCTTGCTCAGAGGAAAATGTTTGCTGAATCACAAGTAGGAAGAGCCAGCTTCCAGAGGCTTCTTGAACCAAGTATGCCTCAGAAATCTACGATTTCTCCCTACAGAATCATTCTTGGGGACGTAAAAGAAAAGGTACTCTTAAATTATATAGCTTTGCTTCATTCCAGTTGATATCACCTGCAGTCGTGTTCTGTCCATCCATGAGGTAGCACCTTGTTGGTAGATAGTTAACGATCCATAGAGAGGTCTGTTGAGCAATAAATTTATAATACTCACTAGTTTACTCCAATAGAATTTGGACCCTGAAAGAAAAAAGAATACATGAAATAAGATATTTTCTAAAAAGAAAATAAAGTTAGGAATACATCACGGAGGCAGAGATCTTTTTAGCTGCTACTCGGATATCATTATTTCAGTTATTTAAAACTTAATTTTCTATTTAGAATTTGTCATAGCTTATATATATATATCAGTAGCTTTGTAATGAGCAACTGAAAAGAGGTGTGTCAAAATGATCATCTTAGACTCTGCAGTTTCTAGCTTTCTGCATCATACATACAGTAACAAGTATCGGTAAATTTTCATATACCAGGAAGTAATGCTTTTGAACTGCTTCTTTCTTTTGTAATGTATCTAATTGCATTCTTCTTGTGAGGGACGGTATGATATGAAAATTTTCATGTTGGTCCAGCTTATGAAGACCCGAAGGCGGTTAGAGCAGCTTCTTGAAGATCTTCCATGTGACATGGATCCTAATGATTATTATGACACACCAAACCAGCTGTTGCAACCACTCCTTCTATGCTATGAATCTCTGGTATGATACAAAGTTTTTTGTCACTTTCACCCACTAGCTGGCTTTGACCCCACTCTCCAATGAAAAGTCAAAACTCTGAAAAATATGAAAAATAAGAAAACACAGTGATCTTGATACGAACCCAGAAATCATTAAGTCTAATGAGAATAAGCCAAGAGAGTGGAAAGTCTATTCTAGAAGGGCTAAAAGAGCAATTGTGGAAAGTGGCTAGAAAGTTAGTTATTAGTCTCTTTTAAAAGGGAAGGAGGGGATACGTATTATGCATGTCATTAGTATTTTCAGTTGTATTGGCTCTTTGCATGTTGCATTGAGAGAGAGATTCTCCCTGGATCATTTTGTATTTTCTTTTATTCATAATTCCATCAGCTTACCTCTTCCCTAAACTCTCTGTCGCCTTTTTTCAGTTTTTTCCTTTCTTTATCATTTTGTATTTCCAATGACTTCATTGTGAATCTGATGTTAAAATTGTAATTGCCACAGCAATCCTGCGGGTCGGGAATTCTAGCTGATGGCCGGCTTGCTGACTTAATAAGAAGAGTTTCTGTCTTTGGGATGGTTTTAATGAAGCTTGACCTACGTCAGGTTTGTTCTGTTCCATATTTAGGTCGATGACACCACCACATTGGTTTTACACTTTTGAGATGCGACAGGAATCAGGTAGACATTCGGAGACTCTTGATGCAGTCACCAATTATCTTGGTATGGGCAAGTACAGTGAATGGGATGAAGGAAAAAAACTCGAGTTTCTAGCAAGAGAGCTAAAGGGGAAGAGGCCTCTTGTTCCACCAACTATAGAGGTAATAGCTGATTAACATTTCCTCTATGGATGTTGCAGGCCATAAATCAAGGAGTTTGGCCCACAATTTGTTCTAAACTTTAGGTTTTAATAGTCCCTAGTTACTGTATGAAGTAGCTTCTCTCTCCCTTTTGGATATAAATTTGGGCAGGTATCTGTTACTATTATTTACATTCTATACAAGGCTTCCTTGAGCCGATCATGTGTACACTATTATCATTCTGTTTCCTAGCATCAGTTTGAATCGCACTTGTTAATTGTATATATTCCTGATTTTTGTTTTATCAGGTTTCTTCTGAAATAAAAGAAGTCCTGGACACCTTCCATATTGCTGCAGAGCTGGGAAGTGATTCACTTGGAGCATATGTGATTTCCATGGCCTCAAATGTATGATGCATACAAATTTGATAATTCTTTTCTCCATCATATGCTCTCATTTCTCCTAACTTATCTGACTTTTGCAATCAATAAAAGATTTATCCTCTCCTCTTCACTTGACAGGCAAGTGATGTCCTTGCGGTGGAGCTTCTGCAGAAAGATGCTCGTCTTGCTGTTGCTGGGGAGCAAGGCAGACCATGTGTTGGTGGGATGTAAGGCTCCACTTTCACTTCCTCTATCGTCCATGTGGATTTATGTTCTCATAAATGAATTTTCCTCTCTAAAATAGGTTGCGCGTGGTCCCTCTGTTTGAAACTGTGACGGATTTGAGGGGTGCTGGCGCAGTGATAAGGAGATTATTATCGATTGATTGGTATCGTGACCACATCATAAAGAATCACAGTGGACACCAAGAGGTATAGGATGACAATCATTGAAATATGTTGTATGCACTAGTTTTTAGAAGCTGTTAACCTTATTCGCAATTTATGCAGGTAATGGTTGGATACTCTGATTCTGGTAAAGATGCAGGGAGGTTTGCTGCTGCTTGGGAACTTTACAAAGCTCAAGAAGACGTTGTAGCTGCATGCAAAGAGTTTGGTATTAAAGTCACTCTGTTCCATGGCCGTGGAGGTAGTATCGGCCGTGGTGGTGGTCCTACACACCTTGCTATTCAATCCCAGCCACCTGGTTCCGTAATGGTATCTTCTTATCTGAATCTAGCTTCTGAAATCCAATTTTTTTAGCCATTCTGTTTCTGCTTTGTCTAACGTTCGTTCTTTTGCTTGCATTTGCAGGGTACACTTCGGTCAACTGAACAGGGAGAAATGGTGCAGGCCAAGTTTGGGCTGCCAGGAATAGCTGTACGACAGTTAGAGGTGTACACAACAGCTGTGCTTCTTGCCACCCTTCGTCCCCCGAAACCTCCAAGGGATGAAAATTGGCGTAACCTTATGGAAGATATCTCAAAAATCAGTTGTAAAAGCTACCGAAGCACAGTTTACGAAAACCCAGAATTTCTTACTTACTTCCAAGAGGCGACCCCACAAGCTGAGCTTGGAAACCTAAACATCGGTAGCCGTCCAACGAGGAGGAAAACTTCTGTCGGAATTGGACACCTGCGTGCCATCCCATGGATATTTGCATGGACACAAACACGATTCGTTCTTCCTGCTTGGCTAGGAGTGGGAGCCGGGTTAAAGGGCGTCTGTGAGATGGGACATACAGAGGAGTTAAAAGCTGCTTATAAAGAATGGCCTTTCTTTCAATCGACATTGGATCTCATAGAGATGGTTCTGGGAAAAGCAGATGTTCCGATTGTGAAACACTATGATGAAGTGCTTGTATCTGCGAGTAGGAGGGGGCTGGGTGATCAACTAAGGAACGAGCTTATGACAACAGAGAAATACGTGCTGGTTGTAACCGGGCACGAGAAGCTATCTGCGAACAACAAGAGTCTGAGAATGCTGATCGAGAGTAGGCTTCCTTACCTGAATCCACTTAACATGATGCAGGTGGAGATCTTGAAAAGGTTGAGAAGTGATACCGAGAACCATAAACTTCGAGATGCACTGCTTATCACCATAAACGGCATTGCAGCTGGGATGAGGAATACTGGTTAGTTTAGCATAAGCATAAGCATAAGCATCTCTCTAGTTTTGTGTGTATATTATATTTAAATATATAAAGTCGAGAATGTGTATCCGAGTCTGGAGTTAGGATATGCGTTTTCTCGCATTTTGTATGTAAATATGAATAAGCAGGAAGACTTTTTGGCAAAGGGTTATATCTTTCATAAGCTCTGAGAATGAGGCTTGTCGTGGAGAATAATCAATCAGAGTGAGGTATATTGAACAGATGGGTAAAATTATACAACTACTAAACGGCTGTTTACCAAACGCTTACTCGGATAAGTGAATTACATTATCTTACCGGATGAATATGGTAAGGACAAAAAATCTTATCCGGTAAGAACGAGACAAAGAATAATAGTCTTACCCGGTAAGTGAGGACGACGACTCTTACTAGTTAAATTATTGCGTATGATACCTTTTAGTGGACTAAAATCTTACCTGGTAAGTAAATGATAGTGCTAAATTTACCGATAATCGCTTACCGGGTAAGTATTTGGTAAACGGCCCATAACTTTTCATTTTATGTCGTTTCATATGCTCCGTGTTTGATTCCCTGGACCTTTTATCAGGCCCAATGGGCCCACTTTCTTCCTATCCCAGCCCTGTTCAACGTTTTTCTTTCCTTTTTATAATATATGAACATCCAACGTAAATACTACGACATCCACTTATAAACTAAGAGTCAGGTTTATAGAGAAATAATAACTAAATAAAATAATAAGTAAAACGATCGAATCACATATGATTTTATACTAATATCATGTGTAGGATCACATGCGATTCCCCGACTTGACTTGAGGTCAGAGTTCAATCCATGAAAAAGTAAATTCTCCAAAATAGCAAAAAAACCTAAGAACTCACATAGAAAATTATATTAATTGAAATCTGATACTAAAATGCTAAAAGGAAGAAGATTAGGAACCAAACGTTAAAATCAAAAGAATCCTAAACCTAAAATTCGCTGCGAAGAAAAGGGAAGAATAAGAGAAAAAATCAAAATGGGAGCACACTCAAATGATTGGCCACACCCTCTACACAACCCTACAGGATGTATTTATACCCACAAGACAAAATTACCAAAATACCCCTTGAAAAGAGCGGGCTTGAAAACTTCTAGGCGCCATGCACGATCATGTTGATTTGCATTCCATTTCTACATGTCCATGTTGTTTTCCTTCTAAAATTTGCTTTTTGACCGTGTAGAATTCCTCTTCTTTCTTTGGGCTCCATGATAAAGGCCTTGACTTTGTTGTTGGGCTCATTGATTTGCAATTGATCACCCATATCCAATTACTTCACTTCACTTGACTTCTTCACATTTTATCCACATTCTTGCACCATTTGTCTTCTAATTTCTCTATTTTCAAAGCTCGATTCAACATCATCGATTAAACGAATCAATCCTGTCAAAAACAGTGCACAAAACAGTAAAAATATCCAAAGCCCTACCCCCACGAAGATTAAAAGGAAATTAACTAAATATCGAATAAAAGCTAGATGCAAACGGTTAATCTAAATGCAAAATGCAACTAAAACCTAAGAAAATTAGGTGCATAAAATGCACTTAACAAGATTCATAAAGCTTTGTTTCAGGAGAAGAAAGCAAGCCAAAAAGCCCACAAGAAAAGCCCAAAATAAATTAAGTCTAGCCGACTTTCACGGTCAGGAATAATCTTTCACGCATGTGAAAGTGCAACATCAAATAAAGCTTTGTTCCAGACCGTGAAAAAATCTTCACTCCCATGAAATCGTGGCAGAAACTTCCATCAAGAATTAAGGCATTTTCTTTACGTCTGGCAAACAGACTTTTGCACTAGGGAAGCATGGGCAGCAAATACGTCCTTCCAATTTCTCTTCTAATGGCTTATGTTCTTCACTTTGGATTATCTTCTTCTTATCTTCGTTCTCGGCTTCACCTTCTACATTCCCTTGATGTATCTTTTCTTTAATCACTTTGAGCATGCCTTCACTCTTCTCGTCTTTAAAACTAAGCATAATCTATACAAAAATGCATACCAAAAGCATAAAAACTATCCCCGAAAGAATTTCCAACCGTGATTAGCGAAAGAAACGGAAAAGAACAATAAAATGGCACGAAAGGACCAAAATGCATAAAAGACACAACTAAAATTTACAAAGTTCGGTGCATAAAATGCACTTAACAAACATTAAGCCTCTTACTTATCCATCATTGGTTGGAACAAATCATCTTCCAAATAAAATCATACAACGTATACTTCCAACATGTTTCATAACCTAATAATATGTATTTCCTACACGATTTATAAAATCAAGTCAAATAAACTATTTATTTAATAAATCGTCAAAAGATTACGCTTCTTATGATTTAATTATTCAAATGTCCAAAATCCCCAAATATAAACATTTCTCAAGATTTATAAAATCAACTGTACTAAAGATGTAATTTCACCAAATACTCAACAACATTTGATAAATATCAAAGAAACTACTTTAAAACTTTAAAATGTACATTTTTGGCATGTACAAAATTTTCACAAAACAATTTGAACTCACATTGCTAGGTTAGATTAAATCTAAATTTTAAATCCAAATCTTTAGCTTCCAAAATGAAGATTTGAGTTCCACAAGCTAAGCTCCCTAAGAACAACATTCAAACCAAGAGACACCAAATATTTTACAACCCGTCAAGAATCCCAAATATATAGATTAAAATACCCAAAAGAAGCTACCTCCTGAAAACTTTGCATCTTTTTCCTTAGATCTTTAATTCTTAAGAACCACTCTCCATTTGCTCCAAAACCTTCCCAAAAATCGACCTCACATGGACCAAAATATCCATGGAAGAGAGAAGATGGAGTGAGGGAGGATAAATTGGAGGAATCCTAGAAAATTGGCTTAAAAACTGATCTGGACGTTTGGGGCTACTTAGGTCGTCCGGTCCATGCCAGGGTTTCCGGACCAGCCGTTTTTTGACCGTTTTCCATCAGTTTCTAGAACTATGCACGGGAATGTGGCGAAGACCTCGATCCCCGATCCCTCATCTTCGTCCCCATCCCTGCCGACGAATATGATCACATCCCCACCCCATCCTCAACGGGAATGGGATCCCAAACGGGGAAACGGAGATTTTTTTCCCAGTTTATGTAAGTTATTTTAAATCAAATATGTAAGACATTACATATTTTTAAAATTTTACTTATTTCTAATAAACCTAAAATCAAAAGGAATTCGATTTAATACCAAAAAATCACATCATATAATAATTAATCACACTAAAACCAAAAGAAATTCAATTTACTCCAAAATATTAACATCATACGTACCAAACATATTGAGTAATATCCAAAACATATTGAACAATTGTATTTTGACTTAACATCCAAAATATTACAAACTTAAAAAAATTAACAATTTTATATTCTAAACCTAATTAGAAAATAGAAAATTATGAACTACAAATTTAGTTGAAATAAGTAATATAAATTATATATATATATATATATATATATATATATATTATAATGGGTAAGGAGCGGGGCAGAGAGTGTTATACCGTCCCCATTCCCATCCACGACCGAAGGGGGTGGAACGGGTTCCCCGAAGGGTTGGGGCCATTCCCATGCTCATCCTAAACATTCGTCCGACCGTTCTCTGACTATTCCCCAATTGTTCTCCCGACTGTTCTTTGAAAATTACGGGTGTTATGACTTGTAATATCAATATTCTCTAATATTTTTGTTCGTTTTATGAGAATCTTCATAATTGATTGTGCACAATTTTTATAAATACAGTAGTAAAAAAACTATACCATATATTTTATATTTAATGATATTTCATATGTTTCAACAAAATATTTGATTCTTGATCAAATATTTACGGCGATTAGAAAAACATATTAATATCTTACAATGATTACTAAAAGATAAGAAATAACATCAGACTACTCATTGATTAAAAAACCAAAACCTACGTATGAAACGTAACACTAACGTATTTCATTCACATAAAAATATCTTCATGTACACCACGTCTAACATTTGAACCACAGAAAATTACTTCCATCTTTTACTTTACGTTTATGCATATAATTCAAGAATCGTCTTGACTCTTGAGAGAGAGAGAGAGTAGATGCACACGTTCAATTTGTACTATGCGAATATAGTTGACTTTGATGTATGAAGGTTCGGAACTATTTGTACATATAGATGTTTTAGGGGGCAAAAGACACAAATCGTTAGAAATTAGCATGCATAAACTCTACGAAACATTTAATTAGTGCGAATATTGCCTACTTAATCAATGCAATATGCATCGAACGTCTTACAGACAAGTCAAAAAGAGCAAATAGTTGATAATTAAGCCTACATTTGTACCATTACAAAAAGAACACTTTGACACATCTTTTATGAGTGCTTGGACGACTCAAGTGGCATAAGGCATCCTCCACTTAGTGTGTCGTTATCTTGAGCTCGTTACGTTGTCTTATGAAGTTTATGTTGATATTACAACTGTAAATATATAACATATTCTATAGACCAATTTATTTGTTGTCCGATGAAACGAATTCAATTCCAAAATCAAATTAAATGATTATGTCGTTTTCTTTTTGCATCTTTTTGTATGTAATGCAACAATATATATACGCATTAAGCCTGAGAACATGATTTGGCATGTTAGCAACTTGACATGACGCTACGATTATTCAAACACTTAGATAAATTTGATAATTGGATCTAGAGATAGACATTTGGACCCATTTCAACGAATCAGATAAAGACCGAACCATCATGCCATCAGTTCAGACTAACATTCCTTAATTCATAGAATAATATATTTTTAGTTGGACCGGATAAAAATAAACCTTTTTGGGAACACATAAGTCCTGGACCAGACGAAAATGGTTCGTACCTCCACCAGTCCGGGCTTTATTTAGGCTCTGTTTGGTAACAACTTCATGAGCTTAATGAGACTTACAACTTGTTCAATTAGCTATACATTATTGTTTA